CTGCTTTGCTCTTGTGCTTCGCTGTGCTTCTGGCCAACAGTCTGGCTGAGTGACTGCGTCTTTGCTGTTTTCTGCTGAAATTATTTTTTCGTTTTAAAATCGGTTTTTCCTTTTGTTTTGTTGTTGTTTAGTTGTTACAACGAATTTTGTTATTTTATTTATTTATTTCCACTAAGGTGAGTTATTTTGGCCTTCGGTGTTTTTGTGCATATTTTGCTACATTTGCAACACACACACACACATATTCAATCTTATACATATTTACGTATGTGTGTGTGTGTAAGTATAAGCATGCTTTGCATACCGAAAAAATATTTGCCAGCGGACACATCGACAAACCGGCAAGAGACCGGAAATTTTTGCCACATCAGCAGGCGGGCTGCACACACGATAACACACCTATACACATGCATGTTGATGTATCGATGTTTGTTGTTCACCATTGCTGGTGAGGGTGATGCCGTAAAAGCAACCAAAAACACGGAGTGTAACCGCCACAGACTCGCAGAGCAGCGGCAAGTAGTGTTGTGCCAAAGGCCAGACGGCTTTGTTGTTCATATACAACAACCACACCACAACGATGGCAACAAATTGGTATCAAGCCACCACCATCAGCTGTAGTAAAGCTCAATCAGCCCGGAATTGGTGACGCGCTGTGAGACCATGGTGACGTCGGCAGTCGCCAAAAACAGCAACAACAACAACAATATTAAGCTTAGCGGTGAATGCGGCTTAAGTGAAGCAAAGTGCAACGCTAGCGACAAGAACAACAACAGCCACACGGCTGAACTAAATACGTGTGTGTGTATGCTTGTATATGTGCGCTTGTGTGTACTGCGAAGTGTAGACAATAAAAAATCGCAGACGTCAACAACGTCTGGTTGCATTTTTTTCGCATTTCGTTTTATTTATTGTTTTTGTATTTTTGTTTTCGTGTTTCTCGTTTTTCAGCGTTTTTTTTGTTGGCTTGCTACTTTACACTCGCCCGTTTGTTGTTGTCGTTGTTGTTATTGCTACCGTGCGCCTCTGCTAATCGCTGCTGTTCATATTATAGCAACTAGCTCCGCCGTTGTTCTTGTAGTTGTTGTATACATTACTCTTGTGCAATCACAACGTTGACGCGACGAAGGCCGTCTGGAGTCGAGATTTTATTTTATTATTATTGTTTATTTATTTGCATTTTTTCTCAATGTTTGCTGTTGTTCTTCTTTTTTTGTTCTTTGTTTTGTATGTGCTCTACAGCTCTCCCTTGGTTGCGCTGGCGGCTTCGCGTGTTTTCCATTTAATCGTGGACGACATCACCGCCGTCTTCCGTCCGCTTGTTTGTTGCTATGCCTGCATTCATATTTGCCTATATGACGCTTTGTTTGCTCAGCGTGTCTGCACGTCTGTCTTCTAGTTAGCAGCAATCGAATCGAATTCTTCGAACTTCTGCGTCAATTCACTACATGCAAATACGGTCATAAAGACAAACAGTCCTACTCGTATATAGAAAGACATTAGAAGATTAGAGTGACTTTTTAACAAGATTCCAGCCTTCAGGCTTAGTTGACCAATGCGGTTAAGACCTGTAAAGCGAAAGAATGTTGGAGAGGCCGCGAAATCGGTAGGATTTCAAAAAATCAACTTTAACTCTCTGAACTTCTAGATATAGTAGAGCGGCTACCATATATTTTTTCTTCAATAGTTCGAATCCACTGTCAGTGTGGCAACAAAATGCAAACAACAATAAGTTAAGTATAGATTACTTTTTAGAACCAATGCAAAGTATTGTATTGTAATACTTATAAATTGTATTGCGAATGGTAGCTTGGTGGTCTGCGATAGGATAATTTCTAGTTTCAGCCAACTTCTTCATATAAAAACTTGAGCTAAAGCAACCAACTTTTTCCATTAGCGTCGCACTTTGGAACAAGCTTCCGACGAGTATTTCCAGCATGGAAAAGCTGCTCAAAATTATGAGCGCAGTTCAGAAGTAGCTTAGATCTTTTGGAGCATTCACTAAATGAAGAAACTCGGCTAAACTTCGAGTAGTGGCGTTATTTATCTGTATCTAGCGTTCTATAAGTCCGATCGGGTTTCGCTAGATGGCGTTAGAATTATGACACTTTGTACTAAAAAAACTTGTCTGACAGTTTTGTGATTGGTTCATTCAGTTTTGTTTGAGCGCGCGTCAATAATGGACACTAGGTAAGAGAAAATACGCTATAGATATGTGAATAGCGTTTATGGTCCTGATACTGTAACTGCTAATCTGCGCAATTTCAGTTTCATCGGATCCGTTCCGGTAATTTCGATGTCAAAGATGCACCACGCACTGGACGGCAAATTGTCGAAAATGTCGATAAAATCATGGATATTGTCGAGTCCGACCGTCATCAAAGCATTGTTTCGATTGCCCAAAGGCTAAAGATTGCACAAAAAACCGCTTGGAACCATTTGAATAAGGCTGGATACGAAAAGAGGTTCGATGTATGGGTGTCACACGAGGTAACGCAAAAAAACTTAATGGACCGAATTTCCATCTGCAAATCGCAACAAAATCGACCCATTTCTGAAGCGGTTGGTGACTGACGATGAAAAGTGGATCACTTACGATAACGTCAAGCGAAAACGGTCGTGGTCGAAACGCGGTGAGCCTGCAGAAACGGTGGCCAAGCCAGGATTGACAGCCACGAAGGCTTTGTTGTGTATTTGGTGGGATGGGCAGGGCATTATCTACTATGCGCTGCTCCCATACGGCAAATCTCTTAACTCGGAATTGTACTGTCAACGATTGGACCGTCTGAAGGAAGCAATCGCCCTGAAGCATCCAGCTTTGGTCAATAGGAGGGGAATTGTGTTCCATCACACATTGATAGTGACTCGCCAGAAACTCCGGGAGCTTGGTTGGGAGGTTCTTATGCATCCGCTTGTAGTCCGGATCTGGCACCAAGTGATTACCATCTGTTTCTGTCTATGGTGAACAATTTTGCTGGTGAAGAATTCGCTTCAAGAAAGGCTTGTGAAAATCGACTGTCTCAATTTTTTGCCAATAGTACGTAATAGAACGTAGGCTTCTATGAGAGAGGCATAATTAAACAATGAATATCGAACAAAATGGCGCATATTTGACCTAAATCGGAGCATTCTAACAAAAATAATGAATTTCTATATACTATAATACAATTCCAATGAAAAGAGGTCAGTGAACGTGAGAGGGGGAAGACCCTGACAAATACTCCCAAGCCTATGCTTTGCAGCAATTGTTTGCAGATTTTTTTCTCCAACAATTGATTACCTTGATTCCCAAGCCCCGGTTTTCTCTCTACGGCCATGGCAAAGTTTAAAATCGTTGGATCGTTTTAGTTCCACACCCAAGTTCCTAGAGGGAAATATGTTAGACAATATATAAATACCGTTTGAAGATGTATTTATGTGAAAATGGGCTTGGAAGTCTTTAAAAATCGCAATATATCTGAGATGTGACCAGTGATCTCTTAAGATTTCCAGTGAAGCAATAAGACCAAAAGAAGTCACTGAAATGAATTACAACACATACATATTATATTTCAGAAGAGTAACTCTATAACTAACGGAGCTACTGCGTAACACTAACAAAACGCGGACTTCCATACAGACATCGATGAAATGATAAAATTGTATGCAATTTTAATCCCCCCCAAAAAGCCAATATTAACGCCTCACCTACTATCCATACATACATAAGTACATTTGTCCGAACAGCTAATCACACGCACCCGCTTATGCATATCGCCCACAAAGTTGCGGCAGTCACTCAAGTTGCCTTATGTCTGAGACTTTAATTGTTTGCCGAGTTCAAGACGTCTGACTACAACAATAAAAACAATTAGAGTCAGCGTGAACAATAGCAATTACTGCAAGTTAACGGTAAAGTGGGGAGCAATTCTATTGTTGCCGGCGAATATTCTTGTCCTACGATTATTGACTGCCGCCGCTAAATCCAGTTGGCAACTCCAACACAATTGGAACTGCTGCTAGTGTCGTAAGTAGGTTGACTGGCTTTATTCAACGCCTCTTCATAGGAAAAGCCTAACGCTAGTTATTGCTGTTGTTGCCGCTGCTAGTGCCAGTGCCAGTGCCGTTACGTTAGTTCCCATATGTGTCATTTGAGTTCCGCAACTGCCATAGGAGCACCTACTTTCATCTGTCGCAGCTGCCGACAACGTCGAGACTGACTTTTACAACTATTTACTCAGCCACACGCACGAGCACATACACTAATGGATGCATAGCGGCGGCTCATATGCATAACAAAGAGAAAAATGCGCCGAGTCGTCGGGCTTTGAAGTGGCCCATTGAGAGGGTTGCTTACATTGGATTTTCAAACTACCACCACCTTCTTGATTGGGTGGGAAAGCGAGCGATAACCATTCATACAGTTACTTGACGATTTCATTGCTTTGCGGTCTTTTTATTGTCGCCTAGCCGCAAAGTTGCCGGGGTAGCCCTTTTACTATATACAAATACTTATATGAGGTCCGTTTAATAAACCGTGGCTTTTTGCATAAAATTTAGCTTTCGCAGCTACTGTTTGCTTAGCGCAGTCTTCGTTTTTGAGAAAAGCGCGTGCCAGTATGTGTAGTCCATTATTAAAGCTTGCTCGATCGAGGGCATTGGCGTTGAATAATTTTACAGTAGTTTTTATTACTGCATTATCATATCACATTTCTCAAATAGTAATTATATTTATTTTCGTTCGATTGAACCGCCTAGGGATATTTACTGAAAAATTAATCGATTCTCTTTAGCATTGCGTCTGAAGTATCGCAGCAACCTTTGCGATCATATTCATATACTGCCGACTGTTTTATCAAGCTACCCTCGCATGCCTGTACATTTAACTTCTCGCCGCTGACAGTTTCTCAGCGGCGGGGTCGCTCAATAAATGGTAATTGTTAGATTTTAATGTCGTCTGAAGGCAACGGAACTATTTGCGCACCCAGTTGGACATAAAAATTTAGAAAATATTTTTAAGTGTTGTGTATTCAACAGAGTTAATAAAGCATATTAAATAAAAATTTATATCAAAAGCTCATTTTAAGCTCTTCTTGCTGCCTACCACTTGCCTTAACTGTCTTATCTCTCAGCTACTGAAAAAGTAGGTTCGCCGACGCACCCTCTTCGTTCTGCACTGACACTTTTTGATGTGCAACGCAGACATTATTTGTTTTTGTTGTCGTTGTTATTGTTGTAGTTGCTGTATAATGGGCGCGTTTTGCCACCTTTGTGTGGGCTATGTGACATCTGAATTTGCCAACCACCTCATATAACTGTTATGTGATGGGTATTGTTGTGTTCGATACGTGTGTGTATGTGTGTGCGACTTTGATTTGCATTTGCACGTGGCGTTCATTTTCGATTTTATTGCGGCGAGACGTTGAATTCATTATCGCCCGATGTCGCTATTGAGGAAAAAATGTGGGCAAATGTAAAAGTTCGAAAAGGGTTGTATTGTGCTAAGGCACTAAAGGCCTCACGGAATCGATAATAATGTGTGGACACACACAGCTATACATACATGCACATCAACATACACTTACATATTCATACTTTATATACTAACAAGCAGTAAATTGAATTTACACACAACTGCTGCTGTTGCCATGCGAAAAAATAGCTGAAAGAGGAAGTGTCAGAAGTAAAATAAGATTAGAAGAGCAAAAAGTAAATGAGGGAAAAATAAAAATTAAATCGAGATTTCAAAAAAATTAAAGTTATAAGTAGGGCAACAGTTTTGAAAATAATAATAATTTTTAAATATATAAATATTTAGTATTATTTTAAAGATATCTTGTTTTTAATTTTTTGTTAATATATAATTAACAATTACTTCTAAGAAAACTGCCAAAATACAAGCAAAAAGTAATTTTTTGGCTTAAATATCGAAAATTTCGTATATGAATATCAAATGAATGCAAAACCTCGCACACTATCTAGACTGGCATTTTGGCATTTACTTTTGTTTACCAGACATTTCGCCAGTCATCTCATACTCGTAAAAGCTACATTTGCATTTAAATGTGCATGTGTGTGTATTTGTATTTTGTGGCAAGAAGTCAGACAGCCACGAGACGCTGGCAATGGGTGTGCGCGCATCAATTGCACCCGTTTGTGGAATGAGTCAAATGCAAGGTGATGAGGCCAGACGATGTTGAATTGCATAAGGTCATCAAGGGCACCGTTAGGGTTGAGGAGTAATAATCTGAATGCTTACACAGTAAATATCTTTGATGTGATTCGTTTTTATGCCGATTCATCTGCAAACGCATTCGAACGCCTTTTTAGTTATAAAACGAAAAGCCCAATAAATTTCTCCCTTTTCAGAGAGAAAGAGAAAATAATGATAATAAAGTTAAAAACTGCTAATCTATTATCAGAGAGTAAAGGAAAAGATTTACAGTGAAATATGGACTAGAATTTTTTCCAAAAAAATATAATTTGGATGTCGCTATGGCAGTGAATACTTGTATTTGTGTTGTCTGGTCCCTGAACGAGTTATATTTAGTTTATCACGAAGTGTGTAACACTCCGCAGCAAACTTCAGAGATCATATAAAGAGCACATATGTATAAAAAATGGTTAGCGTCACGAACTGAGTCCATAGAGTCACGTCCATCCGTGAACTTATCCCTCAATTTGTAAAATTTTGCACACGATTTTTTATCCTCAAGCAGCTTTTAATATTGTATTGAAACCTCTTTTATTTGATAAGATATCTTTACGAAATTTGGCACAAATTATTGTCAAAGAAAACAGTATAATATTCGAACAAATAGTTTAGATCGGATAACTATAGCATGCAAGTGCTATTCAAACTGGTCGATCATACTTCGGTGCTGTTTATTGTTTTTGCTAATTTTGTACAAGAGATGAAAACCAATTATACATCTTGTGAGTTCTTAGTTGGCATAACCTCCTCAAACACATAAAGTAAAATAATAAGTCAAGTATAATTATTTATGCTGTAACTGGGAATCTCAAAAAAATTATATTATATTGTATTATTTAAACAAAAAAAAATTTTAACTTCGGTTGCACCGAAGATTTAATACCGTGATATAAATTTATATATTTTGTTGTTGTAGCTGTCTGTCAAATGCGCAAAGTTGAGTGGAATTGTGCAAATAAAACAAAAAATAACATAACGCCGCAAAGCGCACTAGAGTAATATCAAGCAGGACCAAAACGCCGAGTAATTTATTTATGTTGCATGCAGCGTGTACAAAGTGATTGCAACTAACTCACAATGCAGTGAGACAATTTCTGTCATTATATATCAGCCAGACAAGCGGTGCGACGGCGCACACACAACCTAGACGCTAGGGTGGTAAAGCGCAGCGCAAAAATACGATGTGAACTTCGTCATTTGACTAAGAATTAATACGCCCGCACCAATTGATCTGGTATTAATAGTTTTGGCAATAATAGTAGTTAATAGTACTTTTCGAATTTCTGCCATGCACGATGAAAGTATTCTGAGAATTTTATTCTTTAAAAATATTTCATATAGGTGACTAAAAACGTTATGAGAGGTTTATTAAAATTTGTTATTATTATTAAATGTTTGATCAAATCTGAACCGGACTGACAAAAAAGGAACACTTTCACGCATTTTAATACAAATTTTTATAATCGCATTCAAAATATGCTTCTGATCCAACACAAGCATGCCAACACTTAGTTCATATTTTCATACACTTGGGATAGGCATTGGCTGGAGCCATTTAGTAGTGCAGTAATGATGCATTTGATAAATTTAAGGTTCTCAGCTACGTTGTCACACATCTCTTTTACGACATCTACTCGACGTGATTTCGGCAAAATAATCAGTTTTTTTTGTACGAGTCTAGCATTGACAAGCTGCATACACGAAACATTAACCAAAATGTATACAGTCGATATATAAGAGATGTTGTAATCGCATCCCATCTCTCTGTTTCTGTTTCTTTAACTTTCTCGATTATATCGTCATTAATAGAGGCGTATGGACGACTCGCTTGAGGCAAGTTTTCGATGTTTTTACGACATTCACTGAATGCTTTGTGCCATTGAAATACAAGTGTGCGCGATAAAGTGAACTCCCCAAAATACTTCTGCAGCTTTTCTCACGATTCCGTACCCATGATTTCATTGGAAACACAAAGTTTCAAGCAATCTCGTTGTTAGATTTGTTTCCATAAAAATATCGTCAGACAAACTTTTCGCGTTGTAAACAAAGAACTGTAAAACACACACTAATTGACATATGCAGATCAAACTTCACAACAACATAAAAAAGGTTGTAGCAATCTAGGAAAAAAATTTGTTGGATTTGCACGCGCAGGACCAGTCTGCGTCAAATTCAAATCGTACGAATAAATGTTGGACCTCGTTTATATTAGGTTTGTATTATCCCTTTTACTTTTCTAAGTATTTGTGTTCACTAAAATAAACTACTTCAACCATGTTGCACATTTACATTTGAATTTACAAGTGATTGATGATCATCTGGACGTTTGTCCGCAATGCCACTGAAATGACCGATGTTATCATGCATTACAGTAGCTTTACAATGTAGTAGGCTGCGAGTCTGATGGCCTACGGCATTTCTACAATTCTGCACCTTACCGCATTGCCAACTTGCAACATTGCTGCATTGCACCGACGGTTGCTGGTTTATGTCAGACTTATCTGATGGTTAATGACGTGAATAGTAGGTTGTCAGTGGCAGAGCCAGACCACGCCGAGCCGCTCAGGCAGTCATTCAGGCATGCGGCGCTGTCAGCCATCAATACAAGCTGCAACTTCACTTGCGCTTACCGGTTTGTTGCTGCAGCCTTTGTTTGCTTACACAATATTTGCAAATTGCCTGTGATTCCTGGAAATTTCGCTGTTGGTGTTAATTCAATTATTATAAGCGTTTCTTCGGCGCTGTCGGACAATCACGAAGATTTTCAAATGACTATGCCGCTGGACAATGGCGGCTCATGCAAATGTGGAAAATATGCAACACTATACCTCTGAATGCGTTTATAATTTACTCTTCACACCTGAAATCGTCATCAATCAACTTTATTCAAGCATGGCGGCAAGCCTCAGACATGCGCGTGTCATTATGGCGAGTGCGTGAAGTCTGAGCCGGCCAATTTCAATGCTACTAACTACAAACCGCTGCTCGTTATTGTTCAGCTGAAAATGGAAGGCTTGCCCTTTTTGTAATTAAGAGTCAGCTCACGTCCGTCTGACAGGCTGCCAATAAGTCTGGTATTCGCGTGACAAGCAGCTTCATTCATTTGGGTCAAAGCGTGAATTTATGTGCAGCATAATAAGTGGAGATAGCCTATTCAGTCCAGATTTCAATGTTGAAAAGTGTTGATTATTTAAAGAAACCTTTTTATGTGTTAGCAGAGCCTCCTTAGTAGAAGTAACATATAATCCCCGGTTTTATAATTATCTTACATTCAGTTTGAAAATCGTTCATTGCAAATATAATGCTTAAAATCTTTACTTTTGTCAAAGACCTTCAAAATGTTATCACATTTTACAGCCAATCAAAACCTATTAACGCTCACATGCCACTCAAAATGTAGATAAACTCACTAAAGGTATTGACAGCAAAAAGAGAAATGGATATTGCTTATATTGTTATATTATATTCTGACTTTCAAATGACCTGATTCTTATTTTCCTTAAGGAGTTATTTTCCTTATGGACCGTTCCTACGACAGTCGAGTCTACGTAATCGGACGAATCTCGATTTTTATTCGGCCAAAAACTGACAACTTGGCGGAATTCCTACAAATTTCTTCAAGGATGTTTTCTTCCTGTGTAAGGTGGAATGACATATTCATGAAACTTATGATCGTTTTATTACATGTTCTAAATTACAGGTTACAAATAATCAATCACTAATATTGTCTGTAGCAAACCTTTAAGTGACCGATCGACTGACCGATTGCATGGAAGTTTTCCGATATAAAAATGTCTGGTCCTGCTTGATGATCAAATAAAGGTTTTAAAAATAACGCAAGCTCTATTAATTGTAGAGAATTAAAAATGAAACTTGCGATCACAAAATGTACCATAAAAGCTCTATCCGCCTATCTTGGTAGCAAATAGCAAAACATACATACTGCTGAATATGATTTTTAATGGACCGGTTGACAGCTTATGGCAAACCTGTCAAACTCTTGACATTTTCTGAGTTACTTAGCCATAATCACTGTCGCCCATAAACATAAGAATAATTGCGCATATCCAAGCAGTTCATGTGAGTTCAAGTTCAGCTGCGCAGCATGCCGTGAATAGAACCGGCGCGCGGCGACATTTAAGTGCCGAAAGCTGTTCATAAAGCAATGAACCCGTTCAGCGCAGCTTAACGTATCTAAGAAGATGTGCGTTAAATAAAATTTGTAAGAAAAAATAATAAAATCAAAAGTGACGCGCAAATAGCCGGTCAACCACCGCTAGATTCTTTCAACTATTAATCTATTTCCATCACATTTTCTCTAGGATCCAACACTTTTTCCATTTAATTTTGGTTTGATACAAATCATTGCGCAGTGGTTGGCTGCCACATTTAATGACACCTTGTTTATGAGCAGCACTGTCAACAGCGTTTATCTGCAATGACAACAT